CCAGTCTACCTCCCCCTCCCCACTTTCCCCTGCCCTCTGGTAATCTATCCAGTTTTCTAGTTATAGAAAGCAGAAAAGAAAGTCTGTTACTCCATCATTGCCAGAAGCAGTACCATTTTAGGGCATCTAAAAGCCAGTGTCTTCACGATGCTCATCAAGGTTCCTGCATACTGATTATCTGTAGCCAAGGGTGCTGTTCACTGCTGTTCTGTTGAGGATATTGCTGTTTCTTCTTCAAGTTTGAATCTGTGAAAAACAGCAGTCTCTGAACAATCAACAGAAAAGTCTAACTGGTGGACTGGTAACCACTACCTTACTTTCATTTTATTTTAGTTCTGGTCTTACTGATCTCTGACATACTTAGAGTGAAATGTCAGGTAGTAGCCCCTGACATCTTGAGAAATGAGGAGATGGGTACCCAGTGATAACTTTAAGCACTAATACCCTGCCTCCAGCAACACCACTTCAACTCTCCTCTTAATCACTCAAGAGAAGTAGAGTGATCCTCATCCAAAAATAAGCCCAGCTGCCACCGGGCTGCTTACAAAAGACACCGGGTGCTTTTATAGGCTTATAGAAACCCTTTATCCTCCCAGACCAAGAAATAATAGAGGGAGCATGTGTGTTCATCCCATTATAACATAAGACCAAGGTACTAGGTGCAACAGTAACCAAAAAAAAAAAAAAAAACCTATTGATGAAGCCATCAATTAAATGCTTTATTCACAAAGCTTGCAAATTTCGAGTCTTTTCATTCTCTCCATATTTCATTAATAGAAGTCAGTTAGTATATGACATATTAAGGCAAAGGCTAAGTTGCTATAATGAAGAGACCCCAAAATACAGGCTGATGAGACAGGTTTGTCCCAGAAGCGATTCATTGACCCAGGTCCTTCACCATCCTCCTTACCTGTGTTGTCAAAATTGGATTGCCACCAATCTAAAGCAAGCAATCTCCCTTTGAGCAAGTGAGGCAGAAATTGACACTTCTCCATTCACATTCCCCTGGGGAAACTGTCACATGGCCACATCTGTCTTCAGAAGAGTTTAGGAATGTGGTCTCTAGCCAAGTAGCCTCTACCTAGCTAAAACTGCGAAAAGAGGAGAGTAGATTTGGGGATACAACCAGCCTGTCAAACCAAGCAAGTGAAGAAATAAATCCCTCTCGAAGATTATTTTTCCTTCATCTACATTACATGGATATAATTTAAAATACTGACCATGTATAAAGATATTTGCATATTGACTAAAAGAATTCTTCAAAGTACATTAAGAAACCACACTACTTAAGCAACTAAAAACTACCATCCATTAATTCTGTGCCCGACCTGAGCTCCCAGAGTCAATTATTTGTTCTTGGGCAAGACTGACTTTAGGATTTATATATAAACATGTTTGCCACAGTGTGTCGATAGGGTAAGAATTTGGAAACATTACTAGATTATTGTGGGAAAATAAGTATGAGGATCAGGGACTAGACTAATCCAACATATTATAAACATTTAGTATTTCAAGTTTTTTCTATCTGTGACATCTTTAAAACTTGTGGAAGTCAGATCTAGTAGAAAATGGCTTAAACCCTCTCTCTTTGGAGGCAGGGTTAACTAGAACAATTTCAAACACCATGGCTCAAAATGGTAAAGTTTTTTTCTTTTTCCTACTCTTGTAGAGTGGTGTCTGGAGCTTATGAACAAGTCGTGATCAAGCGCTAGAAGTCAAGCTGGTGAACTGAAGCCTCCCTGTGGGCAGTTGAGCTGTCAAGGCACTTCATCCAAGCACTAATGACAAAATGAACCTATTTTAAAAATGAGCATGTTCATCTATCAAGAGGAAAGCCAACACTGATTTCTTCTCTGAAGATGCTCACCGCTGTCCTCGCCCGTGCACCAAGAGGTATCAAAGCAGCTGCCATGTGCGCTTAGGGGTCACTGCACATAATAATGAAAGGACTGCTTTTTCTTTCAAAACAACCCAGTGGGGAAAACAGCACTCTACATGTAAGTCTAGTTCTAGTGTCGAAGTGTAAAACCTGTGATAGAGGTGCTGAACAGATTTAGGCGATAATTATTTAATTTTGTGTTTGAGAGACAATATGAAGATCATTTAAACCCTATAAATTCTGTCAAGATAATTATAATCCCTGTTAAGGAAATCTTCCATATCTTACTACCTACAGTATTATACTAATTTTATTTATACTAAGATAATTGATATAAAAGTGTGGGTGTTCAAGCTTTCGGGAGAAGTTATACTACAAATTAAACATGTAAAATGCTTAATAATTCTAAACATTATTAGTCATAAATCAAATAACAAGTGTATTTAAGTCTGAGATCCATGAATGGGTATAGTGCCACGTTTTGCAGTATATATTGTTACTCATTAATATTAGATGAGCTGCAGAACTCCCACTAGCGCTGTATAAGAAATTCAAGAGACATTTAACATTTGATATGTTAGGCTACCTTAAGGCACTCTAACATGAGAGCTGTTTTAACTAACTGAATAATATCTGCTGGTTCCAGGAGTCAAAATTTAGAGCAACAGGAAGAAAATTGGGATATGATGAGGAACAGAGCAGCCTTTTCTCTGTAAGTTCAGGCTTATCTGAAATTGAAAATTATTCCGAGGAGGTAGTGGATAAAAGGGAACAACTGCTGGACGTTACTGACATGGACCTGTGGTCTTCTGTTTTAGCCCCCACAATCAGATACTACGTTTTCTTATTATTATATCAGAAATCAGTTGTTTTGAGGCAAGAATAGAATATATCATATATGAAATAAAGCTTTTAAAATAAGAATATCTGATCTGGATCCAGTTTAACAGCACAGCAGATAAACCTGAAGAGTTTGTCTGGTCTTATATGACAGTTTCTGTGTGGAAAGATCTCAGTTTATTTGGAATCAGTCACTGACGAAAAATGTAGATCCTATAGAACTAGAAATTCCCAGTCTGTACTCCCAAAACTATGTCCAAGTAACATAGCACATTAGAACAGAATTACTTTGGTCTAGGTATTTTCATGTTGGCAAAATAAGGGAAAAAAGTGTTATTTTTAAGAAAATATTATTTTAATATCCAAAGTGAGAGGTTTGGGAAATTTTGAATAGTGCATGTTACAGCTTTTGTTTTTTTAATATTTCAATGACTAGGTATTATAAATGAATCTAATACTACTTTTATAAATAAATGCTGAGATTTATAAAGAGATGGCACCCCAGTTTAGAATATTTTGAATGTTAAGATTTTTGGAGTCATTAAACTTTCTTATTTTTTAAGATTCGTTTTGAAGGAAAAAAAAATGACCTGAACATTTTAATCTAACCAAGGAAAATATTACGTTAAATGATAAAGACTTGTTATCTGTGAATAAATGAGTAAACTGGTCCATTCATTATATATGATGGGAAAAAAAAATCAAAGTTTTTAATAATGGTATGAAGATACTGTTTAGAGAGAGATTATGACATTTTGAAAACATTTTTCTATTTTCAAAATATCATTTCTAGACTATTTTTTATTGGTGCTTCTGCAAATGATAATAAAAACTAGATTGTAAGCGAGGTTCAGTAAGGACGTTCTTCAGATATGTATAAGGTGCTGGAATTAGCACCGGCTCTGTTTTATTCACCCTTGGCTGCCCTTGGCCAATACGTTTATACCAGATTGGCTCTCTGTATTTAAAAATGATCTAGAATTATTTTTTAAAAACAAAATGTAGATTTTGAAAAGCATAAAAATCATGGCTTTATAATTTTAGCAGCCACCAGAGATATCTTGATTTATATATGAGTAAATATAACAAACATTTTAATAATAGAAATAATTAGGAAGAAAAGAGATGGCATTGTCCTCTGTAGTCAGTGGTCTTGATTTATTTTATTCTGTTTTGTGTTCCATCAGCCTACTTTGCAATCACATTTCATTCCAGTCCTTGAAAATATTTGTTAAAGGTTGTCTAAGTGTCTGCCTTACTTCTTAGAGCATGTACTGTCAATATTTTAACCATGACGTAGCTATTGAAAAAAAATCAATTATTAAATACCAGGTCCACTTTTGGTTTCATTTTGAGTTTAGATTATCTATTTTGAAAAAGCAGGTCTTATTATATTGATTTTTAAATATTAAAGTCAAATTTCAAATCACCCAGTCTTGGAGAATTTGCAGATATGTAACATTTTCTAATCCTATGCAAGAGAAAAAGATTAATGATATTTTAAAGCTATCTGTTTGTGATCAGATAAGAAAGAGTCTTAAATATCCTTTGAGGGGGAAATATAGAAGCAGGTCAGGAGCCCACTTCCTGTGACTGAGACCAGAGAGGATATGAAGGGTAACAAAGGGAAGAGAAGGTCCTGGGCCATCAGTTTACAGCTAACGGTTGACTGCCTTTTGTGGTAGTGTTGAAGGCTTCTGTATACAAACAACCGATGTAGACTTGTATTTATAATTTGACAAAGTCTTGACCAAGAATCTTAAAGTCCACCATCCCATTCCAGCAAAATACTATCAGAGTAATGATATCCAAACAAGATTCTTCTGTATATGCCTTTTTTTTTTTTTTTTGCATGAAAACTGTGAGCCACAGAGGTCGGACACTTAGCCCATTTGTTGCTAGAAGGGAAAAAAAATCTACTAGCCTTCAGTCAAACTATATTCAAGTAGCATTGAGTTTTAATAAATTAAAACGTCCAGAAGTAATTTTAGACTTTGAGATTTCCATGCTAACTAGACCACTTTGCAAGCTGAAGCTGACAGTGTTGTTAAATACTTCACTGACGTACTCTGAAGTGTTAGGCTTCAGTATATATAATGATGTTCTGAAAGAGACTGGGCTCAGGTAATGGAGTCATATTTTATCTTAACAGGTCTTTAACTGAGGCAGTTCAGAAATCTACTTGGTCAGTTCTCCTAGATGGTACGTCATGTGAATATAATCGGGTACTGTAGTTAAAATTGTGTTATGCCGCTATTTATATGTTAGCCTAGGTACTATGCATAATTTTAATAGCTGAGATGTTAAAGAATATAAAATCTAAGAATATAAAGGATGAAATATGCCTATATTACTGTTTTAGGACTGCTCTGGAAATAAAGGCCTTATTATTCCTTTATATGTGATTTTTCATAAGAAAATATATACACAGTATATTTTAAATGGTCATGTAGGTGGTCTCTAGCTACTCCCCCATATGACAGAGCTGGCAAAAATTTTAATATGCACAAACAATATACTTAGTATTTACAAATGTTTACATTCAACTTATGTGTATAAGAAAATTTTGCTGATACTCACTGGCCAACTCCTTTGCAGAGGAAGATGTTTAGGGTATATGCAGTTTGATTGGTTTTTGTGGAAATACATCTTGTTTGGAGGATCACCTTCCTCTTGTGCATTTATTTGATCCTGTGGAAGTTCAGTCATGGGTAATCATGTAAATGTTTATGAAAAAAAATTTACTGAAGTGACTCCATTATATTCTGTTCTAATACTTGGAGAATGACCTTCATATTTATATATTTCTTTGTTTTAACTGCACGACTATAAATCCAGGAAATGTTTCCTCTTTCCTTTTTTTTTTTTTTTTTTTACAAAATAATTTTTTATTGTAAAGTATTTGTAATGTAAGGGTGAATCTTATACATGTTAAATAAAAATCATATCTTAAAGTTTAGAATGTTGTTTATACTTTAAAATTTCAGTTACGATTCTGTTGCTGACCAAGGTAAGAAAACAGAAGTGAAAAGACCAGTATAACTTTTCCTGAGGGTTCCCCTTTATTACAGGTAGCATAGCACAGATTTGAGTGCCTTCAGTAAAGGACACTTCTTTGAACCCTGAGGCAGCCCCTGCAGTGGCGTTGACCTTGGAATAAGACAGACCTGAGTCTGAATTCAAATTACCCTATGAGCATGTTCTCTAACCTGGGATGGAGATAATACCACTCACTTTTTTGAGTTGTAAGATGTTAAGAATATGCCACTTCGTAGGCACTCAGAATTTTCCTTTGTGTAGATCTGCGTACATGTCTTCATTCTAATGTTAGACACATAGAAGGTGGTCAATAAATGTGCCACTATTAGAGATTAAGATTACCACTTAAATGACATTCAGTGATACCACAACCTGCAAACTGTTCTTCCCTTTGATTAGAATATCCTCCCACAGGAAAAACAATGCCAACACATTCCCTATGCTGATACACATATTATAATAGCAATTTTAAGTTAATAAAGAAATACGGTTCAGTATGAATCTGAACCCGGATCTTTCTCTGCAGATTGTCATGGCTTCCCTGGGCAGTGCAGATTATATGAGTTAAGGAGAAAGCACCCTGCTTGCTGGCAGAAGCGGGGTAGGGTTTGGGCTCTCTAAGGAAAACCGTCAGATTTCCTTCCCAGAACATAGGATCATAGGGGATCGCCCAGGATACCTTAGTGCCAGATCATAGCAGAACATCTCAGGTGTCTCTGATCTGCCCACATTTCAAGCCTGGAGTTCCCAGGCCCAGCCTTCTTGTCATGACTCGACGCCTAGTGTTTTTCTCTCCCTTCTCCCCCATCCTTGGGCCCTCTCTCTTTCACCTTATTTTACCTCTTCCTTTCTGTATATCATATACCTGGTAGCAGCACTGACAAGGAAATGAATCTTTCTTTCCATTTGCATGATGCAAAATCTTCCATGGAGTAAGCTCATCTCACATTACACAAATGTAACAAAAATTTAGGAAACATATAAACAGAAAAGGCTTAAATTTAGACATTTCCTGAGTTAGTGACCTTTATCCCAGATGACCCATGTAACGAAATGTCAGAGACGTTCCTGTGTGAATTAGTGTAGACCCCATTCCTATGCAGTTACAACTCAGCTAGATCGAGGCCTCTTGTCATCCAGTTCTCCAAAGCAAATGACTTCACTAGATCTTTATACCAGCAGCAACTTTCCTATGTTGGAAAAGCTTTAATTAAACCTCTCTAGAAAATTAGCATAAGATTTTTTTTTCTTTCCTTTTTTTTTTTTTTTTTTTTTTTTTTTTTTTTTTGCATCTTATATCAAGGAGTCTTCAAAGCAAAAGAATGCATTATCTTTAAGTAGAAAAAGTGTGCCACCTTCTGGTATTGAACTTCAGTGATTCAGTTCAAATATACCTCTCCTACGGGATCTTGTGTTTGCCCTTCTTTCCCCTATATTATATGGAAGTCCAAAGAAAAACACTTTATATTTTTTCAGTACTTATTTTAAATAATTTTAAATACTTAGAAAAAGATTTTTAAGCATTGCACATTTTGCTTAAATAGGGTGAAATTGTTTTTCTTTAGATTGGGATGAATGAAAGATTGTGTAAATTCAGTTCCATGAGGATTCTTACTAGAAAAGACCGGGTGGTCAACATGATAAAAGGCTTCTAGACAGAGGGACAAGACTGGACAAAGGTATAGCATTGGGAAAACAGAGCCTCCTCAATGAAAAAAAGAATGAGAGTCATGGATTCGGTGTGGCAATAGGGAGCAATGCATTGTTTCTGGGAAAGACTAAAATGATCAGAGCTTAATTTGACTAAACCCAGCTGAAGTCACAGCATACAGGATGAAATGGAGGAGGCAGACATGAATGCAGCACTGCAGGCAGAGTACATAGTTTGACAGGAACCTTAGGAACCCAACAGATAAATGGGCAGAGGGCACTGACAGTTAATTTTCAAAAGCATGTAACAAGCATGCCACCAGCTTTGAAAACTAATTGTGGATGGGAATTAAACATGGAGGAATGAGAGACGTCCCCAGATCTCTCCTCTTGAAACAACAATAAGCTGAACATCTAAAACTCAACAAAAAAACACCCAAACTGCACACCAGCACGTTTGAGCGTGGGATCTGCGCATAAGAGCTACCGCAGGTCAGAACCCCGGGTGTCGGGCAGTGGACTGAGAGAAATAAAGAAGCTGCCTCTCCTAGCCAGAGCTCCCTGCAGGAGGAGGGGGAGGGGAAAAGGAGTGGTGAGTTCCCTAACAGCACTGCCTGGAAGTGCTGTGAGCTCCATGCGGCCAGCGGCAGTGCACAGTCATCAAAGCAGAAGGCAGAGAAACAGGGATGGCAGAAAAGCGGGGACAGCAGAGAAACAACAGATGATTTTTACCAGCCACGATTGCAAAACAGAGGCTGAGCCGCAGACCCCATCCCACAACCCAGAGGGCCCCTCCCCTCATACCCTCTGACCGATCACAGCAGAGCCCTGGGGGAATCTGAGCAAAAGCTACCGAAACTGTTACTAACACTGACAGGAACTGAGACTGAGAGTAGCAAGCATGATTAAACACCAATAAGTAAAAAAAAAGACATTATTAAGACTTTATATAAAGCAGAGATCCAAGAGACTTAGACGCCGCCTACTGGAAACCAAAAGAAAAACACCTTTGCAACATGCTAGGGACCATTATATAATAAATCTTCATTCTGGTTTAAAAAAGGCAGAATACACTTCCATTAATGCCTGGGCGGAGAAATAGTCCATTAAACACCATGAACAACCAAGGTGACAGGGCATCTCAGAAATAAAGAGAAAAATCTCCAGAAAATTATCTTACAGACATAGAAATAGGCAACTTAAATGACAGAGAATTCAGGATGGCACTTATGAAAAAACTCAATGAGATCTGAAACGATTCCTATCAACAATTTCGGGAAATGAAAAAATAACTAGATGAGCGGAATGAGTTCTTTAGCAAGGAGATTGAAATCCTCAAAAAGAACCGAATAGACCTTCTGGAGATAAAGAACACACTGCAAGAGTTGAAAAATGAAATAACCAGCTTGGGATATAGAGTCGACCAAATGGAAGAAAGGATCAGTGATAT